GTGACGGTGATGGTGATGTTGTACTCGGCTCTGCTCTCTCTGTCCAGAGGGCTCTCTGTTACCAGGGTGTAGAAATTCTTTAAAGTCGGTTTTAGAATGAATGGCAGATTACCTGGAATAGAGCAAACCATCCTTCCATTGTCTCCGGAGTCTCTATCTCGAATTCGGAAGATGGAGACTACAGTCTCAGGAGCATTTTCTGGGATGGAGCAGGTGAGTGAAGGTATGGTAAATTCAGGGGCGTTGTCATTCACATCTACCACCTCTATGGCTACAGTGCCTTTTCCGGAAAGGCCTCCTCCATCTGTAGCCTCAATTTCCACGTGGTAAGATTTAATTTGTTCAAAATCCAATTTCTTTGTCAGTCGGATTTCTCCTGTGACTTCATTTATTGAGAAAGTTTGTTTAATTTCCTCTGATGCTTGGAATAAACTGTAGGAAACAGTCCCAAAGTTTCCAGCATCTACATCCCTAGCTAAAACAGTAAGTATTGGGGAGTCTAGGGGGATGTTTTCCAGAACCTGCACCTCATATGGAGTGTGCACAAACTCAGGAGCATTGTCATTGACATCCATGATCAGGATTCGTAACATGCTGGTGCCAGACCTAGGTGGAGACCCGCCATCCAGCGCCATGAGGGTTAAGCTGAACTCAGGCTGCTCCTCTCGATCCAGTGCTTTGTCCTGCACCAAATCTGGATATTTATTGCCCTCACTATGATTTCGAGTGACAACGTGAAAATGAGAATTGGGGCTGATAGTGTATTTTTGAAGACCATTGCTGCCCACATCCAAATCCTGAGCTAATTTCAACGGAAAAACAGTCCCTGGCTGGCTGTTTTCCGGTATTTTCAGGAGCATTTCCCTATTCGGGAATACTGGGGAGTGGTCATTTATGTCCTGGATTAATAGTTCCCCTTCAAAAAATTGCACCGGAGTTTCCAGGAACACTTGGAAATGCAGCACACAGGGTTCAACGGGGCCACATATATCTTCCCGGTCTAGTTTCTCCCTCAAAAGCAAATCTCCAGTCTGGCGATCTAGCAGCAAGCGCTGCTTGTCATCGTCACACACCACCTGGGCCGACCGGGCGGCCAGCTCCCCAATTCCCAGGCCCAGGTCCTTGGTCAAATGGGCTATAAAGGAGACGCTCTCTGTTTCTTCCAGCACAGAATAACGAATAGGCGCAGGGTGAGCCTGAGATAAGAGTACTATCAAAATAAATGTCATCACTTGCCTGTTTTGTTGAATTCTCTCTAGCGTCTCCATGTTGGAGCCAGAGTGCTTACATCCAATCCCTTCAGCAACCACAAAAAGACCCGAGGTATTAAATTCTGACTTCTTGCTTGGTAGAATCTTCACAAAATTGCTTTTAATCTTAAAGTCGTTTAGTATATCGCTACCCAAACTCGTTGGTAACCCAGCACGGCTGGCAAAGCTGCTTCTGTGTGGTGTTGATTTCGTCTGGCAACAAAGGAACACGGGAGCTTTTTAGGGCTCCTTATTCACAGTCTTAGCCGGCAGCGCCACCCTGCGTCCTTACTGAGAAACTAATACTGTAGTCTCAAGTCAGCCTATTTTGGAAGTGTCCAAATGTAAGCCCTTTAAAAAAGTGTATAGAACTTTTTTTTTTTTTTTTTTGCGGTACGCGGGCCTCTCACCGCATACCGCCGCGGAGCACAGGCTCCGGACGCGCAGGACCAGTGGCCATGGCCCACGGGCCCAGCCGCCCCGCGGCATGCGGGATCCTCCCGGACCGGGGCAAGAACCCGCGCCCCCTGCATCAGCAGGCGGACCCCCAACCACTGCGCCAAGAGGGAAGCCCTAGAACTTTAAAAAGTTTTGTTATTCCATTAAATGGCTTAAGGTATAGGTTATTCCATTACATTGCATGAGCTAGAATAATTGTGAGCACAAAGCAAGGGGCTATCTTCCTCTCCCCATACCCTTACAAGTGGAACTTAAAGAACTCCATTTCCCCTTTGTCATAATCTAACCAGGGGAGATAAACTCTTATAAAATTATAATTAATAATAGTTTTATCTGTTTATTTCCAAGTATGTGAGAAATTTATGATGATGCAAAAAGTTTGTGTAAGGTGTTCTGTACCACTTGGTCTCAGGTTCTGTTTTTTTACACTGGTGTGCAAACAGTAATACAGTTGAATAAAGAGGCATCTTGCTTTGTTATAAGTCCTTTTACAGTGTGAACCCACATTAAAATATTAAGGAGGTCAAATAGTATTAGAATCAGATTCTTAGATCCAGAGAGGAAATGAAAGGATTTTTACAGATAAAGAAACAGAAGCTCAGAGGGTGATAGGACTTGATTATTCTACTTGACTATCATCAGGATAATATCAAGACAAAATTGAGTGAAAACCATAGAATTTTATTAAGGTAAAGCCTTTAAGTTTAAGCTGATTTAGCTAGATATCTGTATTTAATAATGAGTTTGCTTCTTACCACATTGATCCTTTGTAGCCCAGATATCACATTCCTTGACTAGCCAATTTGCGGGAAGACAAGAAGCAGTGATTTAAAACATTTTAATGTGTGAGCAAAGGGTACCTCAAGCTTTGCCTACTTATATATGGTGAAGAGGAGAGACTTGTTTATAAAATGGATTTCAGTGCAGCATGCAGCTATTGTGATTTCCCTGGTATAGTAAGTTAACTGAGACACAGTTAATCAGTTTACTGGTTACAATTAGTATATTGAATGGAGTACCACTTATCTTGGTACATATGGGATTTCTCCTCCTTAAATATCTTATAATTTAATTACTTAATTAACTTCATAAACTATGATTCACATTTAATGAATTATTTTAAAATCATGTCAGTAATCTTAGATTCTGATAATGATAGAAAATATTAGGAAAAATTATTATTATTATTATTTACTTTTTTGGGGCTATGCTGCGCACATGCGCGGTCTTAATTCCACAACCAGAGATCGAACCCGTGTCCCCTGCAGTGGAAGCATGGAGCCTTAACTGCTGGTCCGCCAGGAAAGTCCCAGGAAACATTATTTTTGAAAGAAGCCTGGACTATAGTAGTCATTCAGTAAATATCATTTGGATAAATTAATTAACCCACTCTAATGATCATATTTCTAGCTATAGTAGAAGATTACTGTGAGATCATGCATTCAGCCATGAACATGTCTGACACTGAATACAGAATTCTGAGAGATGAGAGTATAATACACGCTAAGCACTGTTCAAATAAATTTACTTTTATTCTAGCTCTGTTAATTCCTGTTGTAAGAGATCTAGTAATAGCAATAATAGTAATATTAATATGCTGTAGAATTTTCTTTCATGCTTAAGGCAAATCAGAGAAATATATATCAACATTAAGTGAAATGATAAAAAATAATAAACATACTGAAAAGAAAAAGAGAAAGAATATTATTTTAGATATAAATGGAAAGCAAATTTCCTGAATGAAACAAAAAATTGTTTCATACTGTATTAACTGAGCTCTAGTTAAAGTTAAAGAGTTCAGGACAAAATTCAAACTAGATTTTGTTTACTTATTCCTATATGCTGACATAGTAATAGTGTTGCAGATTAGCTCTTTTCGATCCCTTTTGTCAATCCAAAACAAATGAAATCTAGGTAATATTAACATATATGTGTCACTATATGCCAGATAGTACTCTAAGCATTTTACATACACTAACTCATTTTATCCCTCAAACAACCCTATGAGGTGGGCACTCTTATTAGGCACATTTTATAGACAAAGACATTGAGGAATAGAAAGTTTAAATAATCTGCCCATAGTCACGCACCATGTGAAAATGGCAAAGGTAGGATTCAAACTGTTACAGAATGGCTCCAGAATCCATTCTTTGATCTAACTAAGTGGAATTAGAGAGGTGAACAACATTTTAGGTAATTTAGATCCAAACTTCAGCCTTGCCTTGGGTACACAGATATCATGGGTGAAATATATTTCTATTCAAATTTTCAATTAATATAAGAATCTTTTAAATAGTTTGTCTCCCGTTAGAGATAGGTACCAGCAAAAAGAGGTGCTTACAAAATTTAGAAATTGAAAGGAAAACTAAGAGTCTTTTGTTGAGATCATTAATTAGGTTTAAAAAAAAAAACTAAGAGTGACATGAATAATGAATTCCCTGTAGCCTTAAATATATATATATATATAAATATCTATGTATAGATCTTTTGAAATGTTATCAGTGTGTAAAGTTAAAATCAAGAAAGGTGGCCTAAGATGATAGTTTAACATTGCATCATGGATTATTTTGCCAAACTGCCAAACTTATCAGAAAAAAAACTATTATATCTGCATGGAAGAGGCAATAATGATAAAGAGAATGACTACCTGCAAAACCATTCCATTCCAGTCAGGAAAGCTGCATTATCCATTCTGAAGGATTCATACAACAACTTACACAATTGGTTGCCAGACCTGAAGCACAATATTTAAAACATTTCTTCCATTTTGAATACACAAAGAGAGATAGAATAGTTAGAGGGATACTCTGGTAATTAAATATCAGTTTTAATTCCTCCTTGGTAAAATACAGGCAAGAACTTTAAATATCATTGAGGGAAAGATAAAAATCATTTTAAAGGAATTTGAATACAAGAAGTCCTGAAGTTCAAATGCTAAACACATACTTTGAAGTTTTGAGTAGTCTCACTTGTTTAAAAAAAAAGAGAGAGAATGTTTTTTTAAACTTCATGATGACTTGAGGGCTGTTTTGCTCTTAACTTGGAGGGGGAAAGTACAGAGGGATATTAAGCAATAATTGTTGAAAGGAGAGATGAATTGGTGAAATATGTATTAGATTTTAAATAGTATTTTTAGTTACTGAAATCACACTTCAAATAGTATTATTTCAAAATATTAAGCAGCATTGATAACTGGTAATTATAAATGGTTTGTAGATTTTACTAGAAATTCTTATAAAAGGAATTATCTTGTGGAATTTTCTACTAAATAGATAAATTAGATTCATCAGCTGGCCATTCAAATGAAATAACCGTAAAGGAAACAATACTTGTCACTGGTAAAAGCAAACTAAAATTTAATATCTTTTAACCTTTTAATATCTTATAGCTAAACTGAAGCTATGTTTTTAAAAAAATCACACTAATTGAAATGCAAATTTAGAAAGGAGATATTTGAATAATTAGAGTGTTTGGCCTTAGAAATTTGTGATGAAATCCAATATAATTTCTAATAATTCCTTGTATTACATACTATATTAAAAATAGGGGCTTCCCTGGTGGGGCAGTGGTTGAGAGTCCGCCTGTTGATGCAGTGGACGCGGGTTCGTGCCCCGGTCCGGGAAGATCCCACATGCCGCGGAGCGGCTGGGCCCATGAGCAATGGCCGCTGAGCCTGCGCGTCCGGAGCCTGTGCTCCGCAACGGGAGAGGCCACAACAGTGAGAGGCCCGCGTACCGCAAAAAAAAAAAAAAAAAAATAGTATTTGTATGTTTAATTTTTCAAGATTGTTTTGGCTACTTGCATTTCCAAGTGAATTTTACCTTCAATTTGCTAATTTCTGCAAAAAACAAAACAAAACCAAGCCTGCTGGGATTTTGATACGGATTCAGCTGACTCTGTGAACCAACGTTAAATCTTCCAACACATGAACAATTTTCCATTTACTTAGGTTTTCTTTAATTTCTTTCACTGATGTTTTATACTGTTTGGCATACAAGTCTTGCACTTATTAAATTTATTCCTAAGTATTGTATTATTATTATTATTATTATTATTATTATTTTGCGGTATGTGGGCCTCTCACTGTTGTGGCCTCTCCCGTTGCGGAGCACAGGCTCCGGACGCGCAGACTCAGCGGCCATGGCTCACGGGCCCAGCCGCTCCGCGGCATGTGGAATCTTCCCGGACTGGGGCACGAACCCTCATCCGCTGCATCGGCAGGTGGACTCTCAACCACTGCGACACCGGGGAAGCCCAGCTGTGGGTTTTCATAGTTGCATTTTATCAAGTTGAGGATATTCCCTATAATTCTTAGTTTCATGAGTGTTTTTATTATGAAAAGGTATTGTATTTTGTACAATGCTTTTCCTGCATTTATTGAAATGGTTGTATGGTTTTCCTTTTCTTTTAATACGGTATATTGCATTGATTGATTTTCATATGTTAAATCAACCTGTATTTCTGGGACAAATCCCACTTGGTCATGTTGTATAATCGTTTTCACACGTTGCTGGAGTCAGTTTGCTAATATTTTGTTGAGGATTTTTTATACCTATATTCACAAGAGATATTGGTATTTAATTTCCTTTCCTTGTGTTATCTTTGGTTCTGGCAGCAGGGTAATACTGGCCTCATAAAATGAATTGGGAAGTGGTCCCTGCTCCCTTTTTTTAAAAACAAGTTTGTGAAATACTGGTGTTAATTCTTTTTTAAAAAAAAATATTTATTTATTTATTTGGCTGCACCTGGTCTTAGTTGCAGCACTCGAGATGTTCGTTGCCACATGCAGGATCT